AAAAAAAAAAGATCAACATTAATCTGTTCTAAGGGTGGTGCCCACAGATCTAATTATCTTCCACTAGGCCCCACTTTTCAAAAGTTAAATCTACCTCTAAACATAGCCCCAAGGGGCCCAAGACCTCAACATATAAATCTGTGGGAGATATATATGAACTATATCCAAACCATGTACATGAAACAGGACAGAAGAGAGACAGAAAGAAGACCAAACCCTGAACTTTGGTGGTCTTCCACAACAACCAGCTAGGATCTCTCAGGCACATCATGAGTGAAGCCTGGAGCTTGACTCAAATATAAGTGTTACTGGCTGACTAAGCTTGCTGAGGTCCATGTCAATTCCAAGCTGCTTGACTCAGTCAGTTGTATATTCTGAGGCTTGCAGATAGGTGTCTAAGAATACTCTCTGGAGGCTTCATTTGTGCTTCATTTGTGCCTCAGCAAGCCTAGGGCTGATCTCGCAAGCAGCTCTTGTGTCTGCAGTGCGGCTGTGTGAACTGTTGTCCAGATGTGGATATTATCAGGATGAAGGACATAGCACTAGTCAAAATTCACAGGGATGGAAGTTCACTACAGTTTCCATTAGAGGACTGCAGTAGGAGACTGAAGAAACTGGAGACTGACTTTGAAAGTTGATGAAGAAAACAGGAGCTCGGGGCTGGGGAGATGGCTCAGTAGAATTAGGCCTGGCAAGCGCAAGGTCCTGAGTTCAATTTCCCACACTCAAAAGAGAGAGAGAGAGAGAGAGAGAGAGAGAGAGAGAGAGAGAGAGAGAACAGTGAACAGATGCAATCCACTTGGGCAAGGCCAGAATAACAAAGACAACCTACAGGTGTTTAGGAATTCTCATTTGAATTGTATAATCAACTTTCTACAATTTCATAATAATGCTTTTAATATTTCTAGTCTAGCCTGAGATAATGAAACAATGAAAGGAGACAATATTTAGAGATGGTTATGGATATTTTTCATGTTGGAAAACTATAAATAATATATAACTGAGGGTAAGGTTTTGACTAATGTGAGTTGTATATTTTGAAAAAATAAAATTCTTAGTCAAATTAACAAATATATATATATATATATATATATATATATATATGTATAGTTCTTTTGGGAATTATCTCAGTATCATTTTAAAAAACCCAACTTAGCACATAAAACACTTTTTGATAAAGTGTTGCCTAATATAGTATTTTGTTCTTTCTGTAAGGACCTTGAGATTTTTACTCTTGCAACTTTATTTTTGAGCTGGGCATAGTGATGCAAGTGTATAATCCTAGTTCATGGGAGGCTGAGTAAGAAGGATTACTGCAAATCTGAGGTCAATCTAGACTACATAGTAAGTTCAAAGTCAGTGTGAACTACACAGAGAGATCCTGCCTCAGAAAGACAAACTAACAATCCAACTTATTTTTTATCTTTCTTCCCTTTCTTTTGCTTTGCTTTGAAATTTCTTGCTTCATCTTTTCCTTCATGTCTCTTCAGAGAATTTATGTTAGTCATGTAGGCTGCCCTTGAACTCATGAGATAGCCCATGCTGGTCTCCTGTTCACAGTAATTATCCTGCCTCATCCTCCAAGCATTGGACAACAGGTGTAAACCACTATACCCGGCATTGTTCATTCCTTCTTGCAGAAAATGTTTCAGTTTTCTTGCAGGAAAAACTTGGGGCAAAGTGAGATCATTTACGGACTGTCCCTTGGCTAGTATTCACCCACTCTGCCTCATTCTTGGTTTCTTAGATGTCCACAAGTATCATTTCCCCTGCAAAGTCTTTCTTGGTCCTCAGACATGGTCAGGTTCCTACCGTAAGCTCTACTTTTATTAAACAGGGTCTTGCTCTGTAGCCAAAGTTGTCCTCAAACGCACAGTGGTGGGACTACAGGTGTGTGAAATCATTCCTGGTGCCACTGTAACTCTTTCCATCACTTGCTTCTTCTTGTTGGCAATGTCAATAGCAATGCTACAGTAGCCTGAGCACAGTGCTGAACACAGTCCCTGGCTCAAACAAAGGCCCAGTAAGTAGGCACACAGCAGTGAGCAAAACAGCAAGTGAATGGGGACACTGATTGTAACTCAGCAGGACCTGATGGTCAGGATCTGGGAAAGGCTACCTGGCTCTGGGGGCCATAGACCCAGCAGCACCCTTCCCCTTAATAGAGTTTCATTGCCTACACTGAGACCCCAAGTGCATAAATTTACATTTTTATTGCTTTTTATATAGCACAAAGGTTCTACA